GTGGAAGAGTTGGCCCGAACGCGCTGAAGAAAACCAGATACCAGCAAAACAGCAGTCCAACAACATGGAAAATGGCCCGTAGCCCATCCGAAACATACCCGAGGCCCCCGGGACCTCAACCAAATATACCAACACATCATAAAAAATGATACGAACTTAGTCAAGGCCTCAAATCACATCAAACAACGTTGAAACTACGAATCGGACCTCGAATCGACTTAAAAAATTCCAAATCTTCTAACTTCCAAAACTCGCGTCGAAACATATCAATCAACCCGAAATGACGTCAAATTTTGCATGCAAGTCCCATATGAAATATCGGAGCAAATCCAACTCTCAAAATTGCATTCCCACCCCGATGTCACCTAAGTCAACTCTCAGTCAAACCTCTCAACATTCCGAAACATCAAATTTCAATTTTTGCCGAAATACTTCATTACCCTACGGACCTCCAAATCCAAATCCGGACGGACGCCTAAGTCCAAAATCGCCATACAAAACTATTGGAATCGTCAAAATCTCATTTTTAAGTCATCTACACAAAAGTCAAATTCCAGTTAGCTATTACCGCTTAAGCTTCTAAAACACGAATCCTTCTTCCAAGTCAATACTGAATCATCCAAAATCCGAACTCGACTACGCACGCACGACAGAGCTGTTCGAGACCGTATGCCGCCGAACATGATGTTAATTCTCAAAATGACCGACCGCATCGTTACAAAGGGTGAAAAGCACAAAATCTTCCACTTCCCGGTCACATCATAATGAGTAACTGAAAAATCAGTCTCAAGAGTAGGGAGAATTGGGAAGCGACACATGTCAAGAATGACCAGTCAGTGGTGACTCAACCATGCTAAAGCCAGATACAAACCTGCGGCTAGATAAGAAACAATTCATGAAATAACTGTTACGGGAACATTACAGAAGATCACAAGATTCCTCCAGCCTTTATTAGGCTTTTTTACCTTTTGTTATTGTTTATCATCTTTTAATTACCTTTTCTTATAACATTAATATTGGTAGTTAAGGGGACATGATTTGTAATCATAACTCTAGTATAAATAGAGGTTTTCATTCTATTGTAAGATATCAAGAAATAACAATATCAAAAGACTAATTTTCTTTCTCTCATTCTCTTAAACTTTATACAAGTGTTGTCAAGATTTTTCATTTATTCTTGATCATGGTGGAAATAGTCTTAAAGCCCAGGCTTGTCTTTTCTTCAATTATCATTGTTTTACTCACTTTGTTCTTTGTTTTTTTATTTTATCGGATCAATTTAATTTACGCGTCTATGAACCGCGTTACAAATTCAAATGTACTATTTTTTTCGGGTAAACACAGCCGAAACTATTTATATCCGATAGCCACACAATGTATAAAATTTATATAATTTTTGTATATAACATAAAAAAAAATTGATTATTCTTTTTAGAGCGGCTATGCAACCTCATTTTCCCTTATTGCAAGGTTTCTTCGAGTTTAGTCTCTTGGACAGTCGATAATGAACTACATGGCCAAATCTTCTATACGATTTACTAATTGATGTTAAGAAATTTAAAATAAATTTATAACTTTAGTACAAACTTTATATGGAAGGAAAATTATAGGGCATGTTGTCAACTTCAAATAAAACTACTTCCTTTGTTCACTTTTACTTGTCTACTATACTAAAAATATATTTTTAATTTTACTTATTAATTTTAGCAAATCAAGAAAATACTTATTTTTTTTTCTAGTATTACCTTTATCATTAATTACTTGTTTCACAAATTATTTCATAGGACTTCTCAAAATACCATCATTATTATCATGGGTATTAAGGTAAAATATACACTTTATCTATTACTTATTTCTCAAGGGACCTGCAAAGTTCATTGTGAACAAAGTATTATGTAACAACCAAAGCTCTCATATGTACTGTCTATCGCTTTTGCTTTGCATCTACTTTCTCATTTTCATGATGTCATTTTTTCTATGGTATCTATTGGTGGTACTGATATTGGCTCTATTCGTTTTCTTGAACCGAGGGTCTTTCAGAAACAACCTCTCTACTCCCTCGGGATAGGAGTAAGGTCTGCGTATATACTATCCTCCCCAGACCCTACTAGTGGGATTTTACTAGGTCGTCGTCATTGTTGTTGTAACGACCCGACCGGTCGTTTTGAGCTCTAGCGTGTCGTTCGGTGTTTTGAGGCCATGAGCAGCTTCACTTCAGGTATTATGACTTGTACGCATGGTCGGAATTGAATTTCAGGAAGTTCGGAGTTGATTTGGAAAGAAAATTCTCATTTCGAAAGCTTTAAGTTGGAAGAATTGACTAAGGTTGGATTTTTGAGTAAAAGACCTCGGAATAGGGATATGAAGGTTCCACTAGGTTCATATGATGATTTCGGACTTGGGCGTATGTTCGGATCAGGTTTTGAAAGACTCGGGAGCATTTCAGCGCCTATTGTGAAAGTTAGCATTTTGGAAGAATTTTATGAACTTGGGGTAGAGATGTATTTTTATGTTGTCGATGTCCGTTTGGGATTCCGAGTTTGAAAATAGCTCCGTATGGTTATTTTGGTATTGGGGGCGCGTCCGGAAATGGATTTGGGGGTCCCTAGGTCATTTTGGAGTCGTTTGGCGAAAGTTAGAAATTTAAAAGTTTTTGAGAAGTTTGACCGAAAATGGACTTTTTGATATCCGGGTCGGATTCTGATTTCGGGAGTTGGAGTAGGTCCGTAATTTTAAATGTGACTTAAGTGCAAAATTTGAGGTCAATCGGACGTGATTTGATAGGTTTCGGCATCGAATGTGAAAGTTGAAGTTCTAAAGCTCATTAAGCTTGAATTGGGGTGTGATTCATGAATTCGACGCTGTTTGATGTGATTTGAGGCCTCGAGCAAGTTCGTGTTATGTTTTTAGACTTGTGGGGATGTTTGGTTTGGAGCCCCGAGGGCCCGGGTGAGTTTCAAATGTTCGAGGGGATGAGAAAAACTCTAGTTTTTCTGGTGTTTCTTGGCAGTAGTTGCAGGTCTAGCAAATGCGATAATTTGTTCGCATTTCTGATCCTCGCATTTGCGATAAGGGCTTCACAATTGCGATTGAGCCTGACCTGAGGTAGAGTTCACATTTGCGATATTTTGGTCGCATTTGCGACCTCAGCAGAATCCGCATTTACAACTCATTGGTTGCGTTTGCGACCTTGGCAGTGGAGGCCCATGATCGCAATTGCGATGGTTTTGTCGCATTTGCGACCGTCGCATTTGCGACACCTGGTTCGCAAATGCGACATCTGTGGCCTGTGCATAGCTTATTAATTTCGAGACTTAGACTATTTAGCTCATTTGCTTTCATCTCTTGGGTGATTTTTGGAGCTTTTGGAAGAGGATTTTCACCTAGCTAGCACTTTAAGGTAAGTAATTTCTACACAAGATGAGTTTAATACATAGAATATGGATAGGTTAACATGTTAAAATAGGTGAAATCAAGGGTTTAGATAAAAACCTAGATTTTTGATAAAAATGAGATTTGACCACGAAAATGGTTATGAAATTTGGTAAAAATCATATATTTGACATCATAAGGTTATGGGTAACTACTTTCTTTGATAATTTCCGAAATCCGTGCACGTGGGCCCCGGGGTGAATTTTAGGAATCTTGCATTTAGGGTTGGGTAATCACCTTAATAGTTGGAACATGAATTTTTAAGCGTATATTGATTTGTTTATACACCATTTGAATAGTTTTGGATTGTTCGGCACTGATTTGGAGGATTGAGATCATTCTTGGACCCAAAAGTAGGCCTTGAGATGTGGTAAGTCTCCTTTCTAATCTTGTAAGAGGGAATTAACCCCATAGGTGAACTAAATTAATACATGTTTCTATTTGTGGGGGCTACATACGTACGAGGTGACGAGAGTCCGTGCGTAGTTACTATTATGCTTATGTCCGGGTGGTTTGGGACCAAATCACGTTGTATTTGCATTGCTTGCATCCTACGTGTTAATTTAATTGGCTAAGCCATCTTGGAACTTGATAAAGGAATTTAAAAAGGGTAAACTCCGCCTACTTGAGTTGAGACGGGTCACTTGACCGTCAATGAGAATTTGATAGTTCTTGAAACATTAACCCTTAATAAATTTTTGATTTGGTTGTTTGAATGTGCTTATCTTTTGTGTAACGGGCCGAACGCCTCGTTAGATTAAATAGATGCATCTATGGTTCGCGCCGTTCGACCCGCCGGCAATGCACATGTAAATATTATGTTGATCGGGTCGTACTACCTCGGCATGATTTGCGCATGACTTTATTGATAGTTTTGGAATTATTGATAATTGATGTGGCCTCATTGGTCGGAGATGTAAATTGTTAAAAGATGAAAATAAATTTGAAAATTTCTATTAACAAAAGATTTGTTTACCTGCTTCATGTTATTGAGTTTGCAGTCGCCTTATAAAATCCATGATTTATCACATTATTGCTATATTATTGTTGGCCATAGTAAGTGTCGGAGTCGACCTCTCGTCACTATTTCTTCGAGATTAGACTGGATACTTACTGGGTACGCGTTGTTTTCGTACTCATACTACACTTGATGTACATTTTGTTGTACAGACATATGTATGTCTAGTGGCTCGTGGGCGCAGCGACCTGGTTGATACGGGGACTTAGGCGAGCTACATCTTACGAGACGATCCGCAGCCAGCAGAGTCTCTTTCAGAGTACTTATATTTTCTTTTCTGTCCAAATTTGTATTCCGGACAGTTATTGTATTTCTAATTCCTAGTAAATGCTCATGCACTTGTAACACCGGGTTCTGGGATGATTATGGGATATTTTAGTATTGAAATTGGAAAACGTTATTATTATTCTTTAAAATTTATCTTTTAATAGTTAAATTGAAGGAAAATTTATGATTTCAAAAATATTAAACTAAAAATTTAATTAACTATTTAGTGTTAACTTATCTGACAATGATGTTCGATACAAATTGTTTGTGTTCCAGTAGAACGTAAAGCAACCGACAGAAAATCTCATAATTTTAGAAAGAAACCAATTCATTGATTATGAAGCCTCCACTATCCAATAACTATATACAACATAATTAATTGTGTCAAAAGAAAAAAAAAAAAAAAAAGAGGAAAAAGTAAACGGATTCATGATGAGGCCTTGCCTTGTTGCACTGCGGCCAAGCTCGTCCATGTGAGATCCAAATAAAAAGAAATGGAAAATTATCTAACTTGAAGTACTACTTGATCTTAAATAAGTAAAAGATCTTTCTCCTGTATCATCCTTTTCCGTCCCACAAAACAAATTTAACGGCGACTTAACTGACTTAACGGACTTCAGCAGATTCTTCGGTTGTTTCTCATCCTTTGACGAACCGGATCTAGAGAACATAGGCGGAGTCGGTAACCGGAGATTGCTTAACCGACCATCCGCCGGTTCGAACCGGTACCCTTTAGTTGAACTTCTCGCTGGAGAAAAGGCTACGGCCCCATTGGAGGCCCTACTCAAGCTTAACCGGCCCTCCTCCGTTTCGAACCGGTACCCCTTAGTTGAATTTCTCGCTGGAGAAAAGGCTACGGCGCCATTGGAGGCCCTACTCAAGCTTAACCGGCCCTCCTCCGTTTCGAACCGGTACCCCTTAGTTGAATTTCTCGCTGGAGAAAAGGCTACGGCGCCATTGGAGGCCCTACTCAAGCTTAACCGGCCCTCCTCCGTTTCGAACCGGTACCCCTTAGTTGAATTTCTCGCTGGAGAAAAGGCTACGGCGCCATTGTAGACCAATCTTTTACGTACATCATCAGGTAACCTTAGAGTAAACCTCTCGCAATTTTCACCAGGTTGAATCAACGAGTGACCTGTGGAGTAAGATCGACTAAACATCCCAAAAATCTTTGGCCTTCTTGGTGTTGATTTTGGTGCAAGGTGCCGAAAATCGGGTGTCTTACTTCTCGCCGTATTTTGCGTATGACTGTGAACGGGCGACGTTTGAGAAGACTGGTTTATTACTTCTTCTGGTGCTGGATGTGATACAACTGAGCTGACATTCTGAGACTCAACGTCATCTGTTTCTTGAATTGATTCTTGCAGTTTACCAGCAGGTTTTGTTTTGAGATTTGCACGGCAAACTGGGCAAGTGGTACGAAAGGCAAGCCAAGCATCAATACACTCGGGATGGAACACGTGGCAACAATTAGGAAGAAAGCGGAGAGTATCTTCATCTTCGAACTCGTTTAGGCAAACAGCACATTCTAGGATAGATTTGCCTATATTTAGGGCTTTGACATCGGAGTATACAAATACCGGCAAAGTTTCGATGATATTAGGCTCAAGCCCACGGGAAACTGGTCGGTGCCGGAAGAAGTAAAACCCCATTGATTCGTCAAAGGAATCAGGGCTTATACGACGTATATATATGAAGATAACTGCCATCAAGAATAAGACAAGACAAGCAAGTAATATCGCTAACGTTGGGCTGATTTCAACATTTGAGTTCAACGGGCGTGTCGCTGAGACTGTGCCAGTTTCTGACATGACATAAAATAAGCACAAGAGAAAACAGAATAGATTTCTCCTATGCTTCATTTTCCTCAAGAATTTGTGTGAAAGAAAGAGGAGATGGATAGTTGTAAAGGCAAAAGATGGTTGCTTGAGTGAGAGAAAAAGCGAGGGGCAAATGAATATAAAGGGAAAATGTCGCAGGCGGTTGGAAGTCACACTTCACAGGTTGGCTTTTTAAAGGAAATTGCTGAAAGCATATATATAACAAAGAAAAGCCGAAGGGATATATAACTAATGCGGTGGAGAGAATAATAATAATAATGTTAACCTGAGTTAAGGTTGTAGTTATTAATCAAATAAATCTTGTCCCTTAAATTGTGAAGGAGGAACGTGCAAGCTATTTCATGGGCCAAAGAGTGATGGCTCGCTGTAGAGGAGCCAGATCCGTTTCTTTTGGATATTTTTTATAGCGTTGGAATGGCTTGCGATAAGGAGTAAGAATATATATCTTATAATTTATGTTATTACGCATATGTTTCTCGTAAGGTTATTAATTTTTTGCTAATAAAACACTATTATTTTATTACTACGTAATACTTATCCAGGATCACCAGAGAGAGGCCGAGTGGGACTTAACGTGCAGTTTCAGTTCCCTAGGAGTACGGTAGGAAATGTTTATACACGTGGTAAATCAAAATATCAAGATATCTTACTAAAATCACTTGGACTCACTCTAGCATCAAAAAATCTAATAAGTACAATATACTCCTTTTGTCCTAATTGGTGTGTCGCATTTTTTTAATTTGTCATAAAAAATTATATTTGAATTTTAAAATAATTATACTTTAAGTTTTTTATGTTATTCTTAATGAGGTAATTTATAACAACACAAATATTTATGCCTCATTTTAGATCCCAAGTTCCAAATTTGTTTTCTTTCTAACTACATGTCTAATTAAAATGCATTACATAAATTGAAATATACAGAATAACAAATGGATTTGTCCTTTCTTGGTTCCTTTTAGTTTAGTACCTTTTCATCCCCTTCCCTTTCCCCTTCTCCATGAAGAGAAAAAAAAAAGAGTAAGAGTATTTGAAAATAACTGTGAAATTATTAGGCTAGTAGTTACTAGGGCAATAATTATATATCCTAGTAATTATAATGACTTATTTATTTTCCATAATTTATTTACAATACAATTTCCAGTTTGGTTCCTAACGCAGGGCTGATTTCTAATATTTGAGTCCAACGGGTGTGTCGATGGAGCCAAAGATGGTGTAGCTGAGACTGTGCCAGTTTTCTGACATGACATAACATAAGCACATTATGAAACAAAACATATTTCTCTTAAGCTTTTTTTTCCTCAAGAAGTGATAAGAATTTAACTAAAGCTATTTGTGTGAAAAGCAGCGGAGAAGAATTCAGAGGCGGATGTAGCCTTCGGGTATCAGGTTCTTCTGAAGTTTGAACTCAACACTTTTGATGCGTAGCATAAATTTATATAACTTTTTTTTTAAATTATAATAAATAATAAATATGAACCCATAAAATTTAAATTTTAAAATGCGCTCCTAAAAAAAGACGGATAGTAGTCGGTAAAGGCAAATGTGGTTACTTGAGTGAGAGAAAAAATGAGGGGCGAATGCATAATATAAAAGGCAAATGTCGCAGGTAATTGGAAGTCACGCCTCAGGGTAGCTTTTTAAAGAAAATTGCGGAAAGAGTATACAATGGGGTTGTTTCTTTTGGATATATTTATAGCGTTACGGAAAGAAGAAGAATCTGTGTTTATTAAATGGCCCCCAAAAGAATAATCAATAAGGTTCTGACTTTGGAGACTGAATAGGTTTTTTTAAGGCTAAGTATACTTAAAATAAATTTTGATAGGAGTTGAGTATTTATGTCTTCCTCACTTAAAAATGTGTCTAGAGCAGAAGTACATGAACCAAACTACCAATAAGTATTCGTTAGTTGAAGCTTAATGTCAATGGAGAGAAGGAATATTCATAGACAAATTTCTTAGAAAATATTACTCCCTCTCTTTCAATTTATGTGAGTTAGTTTGATCTATCATCAAATTTTTTTAATATATAAAATTAAAATTTATGCAATTAGACATATCACATATTTATGTGGCTAACGTACAATATTATTGTTTTCAAATATAAAATATGTTATTTTTTTTAATATGGATTAATAAGAAAATATGTGACATAAAATAAAGCGAGTAAAATATATGATTCATAGGTTAGCAAATTAATGTTTTGGTTGACTTTATGTTAAAAAGTTCGCAGATTATACGCTTCTTGAATTTAGTTAGCGGTTTCAAAGGACCTGAAAGTCAAAATATGCATTTTAAGACTAGTTTAGTTGTCCGCAAAATTCGTTACCAAGTTTTAGATAAGGAGTTAATATTCAACGAGATTATCTTTTACAATTAAAGAAAACACATCATTTGGTAGAACATTAAGAAAAAGTACATCCGTCAATAATAGTAGAGTCAACAACGTATATCACTACTAAAAAACGGCCAATTTCCGACGAAAAAAAAAATAGTCGGAAATTTCTGACGGAATCGGTCGGAAAATATATAAAAATTTATTTTTCAATTTTTAATAATAGTTACGACTAATATTCCGTCTATATCCGTCGTAAATGTTGGCGGAAAAATTCTGCGTCACTGTTAGCGACCAATTCGATCGGAAATAATTTTTTAAAAAAATAAATAAGAAAAATAGGGACCGATTCGGTCGAAAATTATTAGTAAAACGAGGTTGACTGCTTTGACCAAATTACCGACTGAATCACTCGGAAAGATTTTTTAGAATCTGTCACGGCCAAAAATCCATTAAGGGTCGTGATGGCGCCGGACACCACTGTCAGGCAAGCCAACCAAATACTTAATTAAACTCCAATTTTAACAATTTTGGAAACCCAGATTTTCCTTTAAATTTCATAAGTAAAAAGATAACTGCTTCAATTCAAATTAAATACTAGCAATCAATACAAAAATATTTAAAAAACCATCCTAGAACCCGGTGTCACAAGTGCATGAGCATCTACTGATAAGGAAATAAAATACAATACAACATCCGTCCGGAATACAGTGGACAGAAAGAAAATACAATTTACTGGAAGGGACTTTACTAGCTGCGGGGCGCCTCGAATAATGCAACTCACCTAGTCTCTGAATCATCCGTGCTGCTATGCCCAGTGGGCTGCTAGAGATAAATATACGCGTGCAACAAAAATGCACAGAAGTGTAGTATGAGTACGTAAACAACGTATACTCAATGAGTATCCCATCTAATCTCGAAGAAGTAGAGACGAGATGGTCAACTTCGACACTTACTAGAGGTCAATTGACAATATACTAAAAATGTGAGGAAATCATGGATTTATATGGCAGTCCTAATTCACGAAGCCAGAAAAACAAGGTAAACAACCTTCAACAAATAAATACAAGGAATTTCTACGATTTACTACTTTATATCTTATCAATTTATATCAAGCCACGAAGGGCAAATTTCACATTTAAAATTCTCAAGCAACGATATAACATGCGCAAATCACACCGAGGCGATGGCCCGATCCAACAGAAATAAACTGTGCAATTGCCGAGGGTCGACGGCGCGCCTATAGATGCATCTATTTAATCTGCCGAGGCGTTCGGCCCGTTCCATAAATAAACACATACCCTGCTCGCGAATCATGCATGCGACGCAGGTACATATAGAGATACATGCTCAATCAGTCAATTAAGAACTTATCGGGAATATTTACCCAAATAAAACAATTTCTCTTTTTAACAATTCAGGAAAAATGATGTTTAATCTCCTTTTAAATTCATTTACTAATCCAAGGTGATTCAAGCAATTCAAGCTATCAATGGATTCATAAATAATCCAAGTATAACATGCTTTTGGGCCCTAACTACCCGGACAATAGCATAATAGTAGCTACGCACGGACTCTCGTCACCTCGTGCGTACGTAGCCCCCGCAAATAGGAGCACATAATCAATTATTTCACCTATGGGGACAATTCCCTCTTACAAGGTTAGAAAGGAGACTCACCTTGCTCCGAAGATCCATAACCGGCATTCCACGCCCTTCCGAAGACTCTAATTGATGCACCATGCTCCAAAACTAGCCAACGGTACGCAAATCCATTAATATATGCTCAAATATTCGTTACGATCTAATTTATAGCAATTCCTAACTCCGATCGAAAAGTTGACCAAAACGCCATCGGGCCCACGTGCCCGGATTCCGAAATTTTTTTGAAGATAAAGATTACCCATGACCTTAGGAACTTGAATATATAATTTTCACTAAACTCCATACTCAATATCGTGGTCAAATTCGAAGAAATGCCAATTTCTAGGTTTTCCACCAAAACCTAAATTTTTCCATAATTTCCTTGCCTAAATCCATGTATAAACTCGTATTTAACTCAAAGCTAGCATGAATTACTTACCTCATGATGAGTGACGAAAATGGCACCTCAAAGCTGCTCCCCATCGACTCCAATGGAAGAAAATGGGGTTGAAATGAACCCAACCCCGAATATTAAAAGACCTCATTGCCTCAGCTGTTTCCGCACCTGCGGTCCCTTGACCGCTTCTGCGGTTCCGTAGGTGCGGTTAAAATGCCGCATTTGCGATCCTCCCTAGGCCGCCCTCTTTCGCTTCTGCGATATGCCTTCCGCAGATGCGGTCCTGCTTCTGCGGAACTTTGAACGCATCTGCGGTCCACTCCAAGTCGCTCACTTCCGCTTCTGCGACCACCTTTCCGCATATGCGATCCCGCTTCTGCGGAACCTCGACCGCATCTGCGGTCCTCGAGCCCTTGACCAAAAATCGCTTCTGCGGCTCCTTTTCCGCTTCTGCGGGGCCGCTTCTGCGGTTAACCCACCGCAGAAGTGAAAATACCAGCAACCAGATCCTTCAGCTGTCCAAAAATCCAAATTTCGATCCGTTAACCACCCGGAATCCACCTGAGGCCCCCGGGACCCCAACCAAACATACCAACCAATCCCAAAACACATTACGGACTCGCTCCACGCCTCAAATCACATTAAACAACGCTAATATCATGAATCGACCTCCAATCCAAACTTAATGAACTCCAAAAATTCAAACTTCTATTTCCGATGTTTAAACCTATCAAATCACGTCCGATTGACCTCAAATTTTGCGTACAAGTCATATTCAACATTACGGACCTATTCCAACTTTCGGAATTGGATTCCGACCCCGATATC